ACCCTTCTTCAGAAATGCATTTCTGAAGAAGGGTCTAGGCCCGAAACGTCAGTTTCCTGCTCCTCTGATGCTGCTTGGCCTGCTGTATTCATCCAGCTCTGCACCTTGTTATATCAAGGATTAGATGACTTGTTTGATAAATGGCACTTTGCTGCTGGATGAGAAAAAGAAATGCTCCAATTTTACACATGTGCACACCATCACCCAGAGCTCCACCTAAGTGTAGTAATGGCCATAAACATAGCTATTTAATTTACATAAACATCTTTTCACAAGAGCTCTATTTATGTACACTGTTTGGGTTTTGAAAACAGCATGGCAACCTTTAGTTCGGCCCTCATTTTAAATATCAGTTCTAAATGCAGCTCATTACAAACTCTGATTTCTATTCCACTTCAATTTTAAAGCAAGCTACCATCTATATTCAAACAAAGTTTACTCACTTCCAATGGATCTAACATGCCCTTCCTTGTAACAATGATCTGTTTAGGCTGCTCTTCAACTGGAAGCGATCGGATCAAGGCAGCCACTTCTTCAGCAGTCTTCCATTTTGCCAGCTGAATACAAAAAGAACTGATTATTATTAACACATCCAGAACATAAAAATTAAGGTTTTAAGTAACAGCTCTAACACAGATTAGTATCTGAATATTTTTACGTGAACGAGATTTTACACTTATACCAGTAGTGGTTAGTTTGCAAAATTCTTACAATACCATTACAAACTTGTTTTCATTCATTGTTTCCCTTCTCCTTGATCAAATGGGACTGAAACATAATTGACATTACAACACTATTTTCGAAGTTAAACTAAAGCATTAAAATGTATATGATCAAAATAATGTTTTTTGTTGTCGATGCTTTTGATTGACACAGATTGGGGAAAAATTGCATCTGAAAATTACCTGGCCCAACCGTTTCTGCCCAGCCCAAACCGAAGTGTGGATAATTTTAAGGAACAGCTGTCCTGTCCTGGGGTTGAATATAAAAATGGCTCCATTTATTGGCTTTGTTGTCAAGTTGCCTTCGAAAGTCTAAGGAAAGAACATATTTATAGCAGATTCAGTTATGTGTAATGGTACAACAGAAGCAACACAATTAACAATTAGGAACAGATTAACTCAATTTTCATTAGAAAGATGTTTCAGGTTCTAGAATTGCACTGTACAACCTGAATTAATTTGTCAAACGTAGCTATTGGAGGCTTTAATAAAATTTTACCATCAGTATCTTTTACCTTATGAATGGTGACACGATACACATTTGTATCATCCACAAACCAAATGATTTGGTTGGAAAACAGTTCACCATAATTTTGTGAGGATAGGTAAGGCTCAGTTGGCTCGGAAGAATATAGCTGTAAACCTTTTCGAATACGTTCTCTCAACACGTACAAGGCAGGGTTAGCCTTCATGATCTTTGCCATAGCCTGCTGGATCAATGGCTTGGCACCCGGAAACCAGTTACCATAAGCACTGCAAAGTCAAGTAACAGTAATATCAGAAAATTTTCAAAGAGATTGTAGGAGAAATTGGACAGAAAGCTCCCTCCCATTCAAGATCTGATTAATTTAGTACTTGTTGCAATTTGGTGCAGCTAATAAAAATATGATACAGGCAGTATATGCTAAGTGTATACAGGAAGGGGCTGCTCACATTCCTTTTGAAGATTCGTTTTGCATCAAAAAAATGAAGACAGTATAAGTGGTGTTGGAGCTACCAAGTTATAATGAACAAAATGAAAGAATTACATTTGTTTAGTGGAGTAAATTATGAATTCAGCAGGACTGGTTCCAAGCCTATTAGTATACTTACCTATGCAAATTATAGGCCAGATCAATAGCAATCAATACACCAGTAGGCGAAGGGTAGATACTCATATTATCTGTTGTATAGTCCAAAAACTTAGCTCTGGCATATCTCTCAATATCATGAGAATCATAGTCACCCCATCGCAACTGAATATCTATCCAGTATTTTTGAGTAGTAGTGCTATCCATCACATCTCTTTTAAAAACAAGAGAGAAATCTGGTTAGTATATACTATATGATTCAAAATGGAAACATAAAAAATGAAACTTGATCTTTTTTATAATTACCATAAATGTTATGAAGATAAAAATGGTTCAAGTGTATATCATATATTAGAGCTACTATTCTCTGACAAAATGGTAGAACGGACATACTTTGAGTCAGCAAGTAGCGATGGTCTGGAAACATTCCATTTGTATGAAGCAAACAGCAGAATATCAGCACAGGACGAATTCATCTTATAGGATTTCCTAGGATGAATAGTTTCTTTCTGCACAGTCTCAATCTCTAAAGCATCCAACTCTTGATCAAAGACCTACAAACAAAATCTTTCATTTGAAATCTAATTTGTTGACACAGCAATTCTCAAAAGACTACATGCAAGACAATCTGAACTCTTTACATGATTCTGAAGATTAAACTGCTCACTTCATCTCTTTCCATGCACATTCTTTTATAAATTGATTTTCCCTCATTGTGAAGTTTTAAAGTCTAACCCTGCCATAAAACAACAGAAAAGTGTTCTGAAAATAAAACAGTAGCCCAACACTGACCTGACACAAATCCATAACAATGCTCTCATGAATCTTCTGCCACAAATGGGCTCTGAAGATCTGGATCAAAGAAATCTTGAGAGTAGGGATTTTGCCATGCATGAAAATTCCTGTCAGATCTAACTGCACCTGGAAACCTACATAAACCTGAGGGCGGAAAAAACATTTTCAGATCATTTTTGACAATTCACTTTGTAAATTAACTTATGATTAATTCACAAACTTACATTAGCTCTGTTGATAGTTGGTGACCACCAAAGAGTGAATCTTCTGTTGGGAATCTGATTCAAACCAGATCGTTGGGCATTAGTCAGCTTCTTCCACTTCATGGATTCCTCAAAGCCACTTGCTTTCTCCCTGTAAGGATAGAATTTCAGGAACATTTGAAAATCTCTTGCTGATAACCAAAAATCAAGCATCTGCTTGCAAGCAGAAAACAGATGTTTATGCAGGTATTCTTTTCTCAGAGTTACATAAAGATCAAATGATCAGAAACAGATCAAATTTACATACATCTAATAGGATGTCCTTAATATATACATTAAATCTATATTGTGCTTGTTTTTGAAAATAAACTACATACCAGAACAGGCCTTCCCATGTTGGAAAATAAGTTCCCTTGAAGAGTGTGTGCTCCAGAATGCCTTCAACACCACCTAGCGCTTGGATCATGTCAGTACGGTAGTTGTTCAAATTCCACAGCTTGCCATCGTGTCTCTGATGGGTCCACCAGAATGGATTCTGCTTTAACACCTGGGAACAATGAAATATGTTAGCTACACATATCCTTCAACAATTAAGGACAGAGGGATATAACACATTTTCTTTACCATTAATACACTGTCTGCTATAATTTGCCAATTCCATGCATAACAGCAAATAGAGTTATAAGCTTCTTATATAAGCCCAAATCCCAGATGTAAATTTTAAATTAATGCCCAACTCCAACATTTGAGATTTATTTCTCCAAAACTGAAATAATATCATCCATGGCTGGGACAAAGCAATTACAGTACTTGGTTGCAGACGTGTAGGTATTGCTGTGTGCATACAAGGCATGGGAACAAAAATTAGAAACAAAACACCAACGTGCAAATTCTATAAGATAAGCTTATCATCACTCCGCATATTGCATTCATGTCAGAGAATAACTAAAATAAAAAGGAATTAATTCATGGGTTGTGGGGTTTGTAGGCTAGACCAGAATTTCTCGCCCATTCCTCAATGCCCTCAGCACAGTGAGCTGCCCTCTTGAACTGCTACAGCCCATGTGCCATATGTACACCAAAATGCATTTAGAAAGGGAGTTCCAAGATTTCAACTGAGTGACAGTGACAAAACAATGATAATAGTTCCCAAGCCAGCATAGGATCTGGCTTGAAAGGGAACTGCAGGTTATGATGCTCGTGTGCATCTGATACCCCTGTCCTTCCAGGAGGTAAAAGTTGTGGGTTTGGAATTTGCTTTAGAAGGAGTCTTGATTAGCTGCTGCAATCCCATCTTGTAGACAATGGTATGCAATACTGCTATTGTTTTGTTAGTAGCAGAGAGCATGAATGTTTTGCCTGCTTGATGGGGTAACATCAAGTGGGCTGCTCTGTCCTGGATAGTGTTGAGCTTCTTCAGCACAGCTGCACTCATCCATGCAAATGGAGAGTACTCCATCAAACTTGTTGACTTGTGCTTTGTTGTTGGTGACAGGCTTACAGGAACCAGGAGTTGAGTTCCTTGCCACAAAATTCTCACCCTCTGGTCTGTAGTCGAATGTTTACATAGCTGGTCCCAGTTCAGTTTCTGGTCAATGGCAACTTCAGCGTGTTGATAGTAGGCGATTCAATGATTGTTATGGCCATTGCATGATAAGGGGAGATAGTTAAAAGATTCCCTCATCAGAGATGGTTCAATGCAAGTGTGGCATTTAGCAACCCAGTCTAAATACTATCCAGGTTTTGATGCAAACTGGGCAGACTATTTCAATATCGGAAGGACATTCCCCTAAGGGTACCCAAATGGACACTCAGCAGATGCAAAATCTGTCTGCTGTCGTCTTAAATGGTCAACTCCAAGTGTTTCTCTTAGCTCTTCTCTTCCTCAAATGGTGGCTGAAGCAGAATCTTGAATATTTTTAAGGTGGAGGTGGATAGATTATTTTTAAGCAAGGGGATAAAAGGTTGTCATGGGCAGATGGGAACGTAGAGTTGAAGTTACAATCAAAGCAGCCATTACCTTATTAAATGGCTTAGCAGACCCGATGGCTAAATGGTATACTCACACTCCTAATTTCCATGTTGTGCCACAGGGTGGTAAACCTTTTTTTTAAACAATTGATTTTGTGCATCTTATGCACAAATGTCCAGCTTTGAAAATAGCACTGAGGAAGGGCTGCAAGCCATTAAGATGGCAATCCAGAAGTTAGAGTAGCTAAAGAAGTGGTCATTTGATGCATGGGTGAATACAAAAACATTTCTCTTTAAGTCGTACCTGGTACTGTTTAAAATCAGTTCTCACTCTCCAGCCCTTATCATAAGCTAGCGTGTGCCTGTCCTTCTGGAACAATGTGTTAATGCGTGGAATACCTCTGTCCCAGGAGTCTTCCAGATCTTCCAAAGTTAGACGCCTGAAATTAGAAATAGTTTGTCAAACAACCAAACTAACATTAGAATCCTATAACTATTATTGTTTAAAAAAATGACAAAACTGACCTATTTTGTGCAATAGCTTCTTGTCGTTTCAGCGCATATTCTGCCCATACTCTCTGTGAGTCAATGAACTCACTCTCCCAAGGCTGAATGTAACGATAAAGATTAGGAATCAATTGGTCCTCTTCATGGCTCATACCTGATCGAAAATGAGTGATGCCCACATCTGTCTGCTTGGACCACCTAATAAAATATGTAAAAGCTTTGTGCTTAAATTGCAACTTAACTTAAAATGGAAGATTTCTTTATTTAAAGTTACAAGGAAAATGTCAACATTATGTTCTTAAAGAGATTTGCACCATGTATTCACATGTACACATTCTTTTGTGAGCTGTTACACCACACCTTTTTGCAACACATTGCTCAAATCAATGAAAAGGAAATGAATTTTTGACAGTACCTTAAATCAGACTGTGGGATGAGAACGTGGCCCATTGAGAGCATGCCAAGACCACCCAGCTCCTTAGGTGTGTAAAACACCACAGGTGGGAAACGACTTGGCATCTTGGAGTTCAAACCAATCTTAATACGTGTCTGGATCTTGTTCTCACATTTCACCAACAGGTCTAATAACTCCTGCGTGTTAACCACTGCTTCACGGAAATAGGTCATCAAGCCAATCAGAGCAGTGTTCCACTTATTCACAATCTAAATAAGCACAAAGATTATTATATAGATTACTTAAACACACAGAAACTAAGAGCAGGACTAGGCTTTTCAGCCCTTTGAGCCTGTACCACCATTCACAGCTGACAATCATGGCTGATCGCCTATTTCAATGCTGTATTCCCACTTTATCCATATACACCTCGATGCCTTTAAACCTGATGGCTTAAAACTTTTTGCAATTAACCTCAGATTACTATATCCTATTGCTTAAATCCTACACCTTTTTTGTTACAGACAGTATATATTTGTCCCTCACAACACAATAGGCCCAACAGAGAAATGATGCCCCAAATGTCCAACCCAGAAGGTAAGAGCTAATTGCATTTTTTTTCCTCTTCAGCAGTTCTTCTGATGGAAGATCCTGCAGAACTCACCAAGCACAAGAATCCTTGTTGAGAATTGCATGGAAAATCTTTTGACAAGACACATCCCTCTTTTGCAACATCAAACAGGGGACAAGGTTGTCAGTTATATAGTTACTTAGGTGCTACACGTGCTTTTTATCTGTTGACAATTTCTGGGTAAGTATCATGGCAAGCAACTTGGAACTCTCTGAAATTTATGATTTCAAATCCGAACTGGAGACACTTTCAGAACATTCTGGATGTAGGGGAATTAACACTGGCAGCTAAACTTTCCGAGCTAATCCCAGTTTGGACTTTCAAGAGGTCCTGACACTTAACTTTCAATAAAAGGGTAATTTTCAAAACTTTCTGACTCAAGTTACATCCATTGTAAGCACAAGCAACTTGATTAAAACTACAGTTCAAACACATTCAACATTTCATGTTACTATTTTAAACAAAAATGTTTAATGCAATGTCAATACAAGAAACATACCTTAGTGAAAGTTGTGGAGCCAGATGCCATGAGGATCTGACGTACTCTGTTGTGGAACCGCTGCATGGATTCATCATCCACTCGGAGGAAGCACTGAGCTGTGCGCTCTTTGGTAACCTGCAATACAAATTAGAAAAAAAAGTTGTATAGCACCTCTTAAAAGTACAGCCATTCTTGTTAATATCCAATTTACACGTTGTAAAATTCCACAAACAGCAATACATTAGTAAAGGTTGCTCCGTTTTTAGGATAGTGGTTGGAAAGATAAATTCTAGTTTGGACACAGGAAGAGGCCATCATTCTATCTGTGGGCTGAAGGAGTCAATTCTCTCTTCATTTTTTGAAATGCAACTAATATTTGGGGAATTCAAACAAACTGTTAATGAAATTCTAAAATACAATTGAATTATATTTCTATATTCTGCTACTTGTGTTTATTGTACCGGATTCCATGGCTTTCAACTATACTATACTTTTCAAAATTAAGAGCCACATTTTCCCCAATTGCTCTCCTGCTTTCTGATTATCAATTGCATATAGTAGAAATAATCATAAATTTTCTTCAAACGTGTGATACTGAAGGTCGAATGACAGTGCAACAGGTCAGATTACAAATGTGCCTCCTATTAGATACAGAAAACTAATATTATTACAAAAATAATTACTGCAAAGTTTGTACCTCATTTTGTAAGTTCCAGACTCCATCTTTGTGAGTGAATTCTTCATAGCTAGTACGACATTTAGGAAGAATGCGGCACTCAAAGCCAGACATGTTGAATAGCAGGTTGGGATTGTCTTTGCTGTACACAGACACAAAACTGTTCTCCCACTGAATAGTGGTAACAGACCTAGGTAGTCGATTTTTAATATCCCAAAACACTGCTCGACCACTACAAGAAAGACAGCAATATCAGCAACTGAAAAACACAGGATTCAAGCATGAACAAACAATCTTTCAGTGACAGCACCAAACTAAGGAACAAATTGTGTTAAGTGGTTTAAGCTTTTGCCCACATCTTCTGGCAGTTCATTTCAGATTTTGACCAAATGTAAACAAATATAAAAATTTTCTAACTGATTTTAAATTCCATAGATTCCTATGCTTAGCTTAGAAGATTATTAGTGTCCATTCAGGTAGGTCCTGCTCCTTCCAAAAATCTGTGCTGCTGAGTTGTGAGACATTACTAACAGTCTCAATCAATTATAACAGAGCTGTGAAGCACAATGAATTAACAAATTGTTGTTTCTAAATTAGAAAATTTTTGTACACAATCCCTTAGTCATTTCCTGTTGTCAACAAAGCTTATCAATATATATCTTAAAAATTCTTTACGTGCAATGCTAACACACTAATTTAGACAGTTGCATAATCAACTTCATTGAGAGACAGCAGTACATCTTGAAGTTTAATGTTTAGAAAGATTCTGTTCCTGATCTCAGTGCAGCAGTGTCCCCATTGACTAAAAGTTAGAAAATTCTGAGACAGGAAGGAGAAGGTAAAGGATTGGCATTTAGGTGGCATATTGGGAAGACTCCTCTGCTTCTCTGTTCAGGGAGACATTGGCTTAATATCTTATTCAAATGACGCATCCTTTACAACTTACAATAGGTCAGAGTTGAAATGAAGTGTCAGTTTATGCATTCAAGCTTCAGAATGGGACTCGAATTCACAACACTATGACTCAGGGCATTAATGTCATCAAGCTGCCATTTAAAACCAATTTGTGGAATTATAATTAAAAAGATCATGCAGAAATGAATTTCAGCTTATTTCATATCATCTACGCACACTATTATGCAACACATATATTTCTGAGAGCTATGGTGCAGAATCTGACAGTGATTGCAATGTTTGGGTAAAAATTAAATTTAGGTTGAGAATGTCAGATTACATGTAGCACAAATCAAACAAAGGCAACCAGCAGGTAAATGTTTCCAATAGTCAGCAATGGGGTAACACTTGTGACACTTACAGGTTGACATCATGCTTCATAAGCCTCATACGTGCATCTCTAGGCCAACACTTCTTGTTATTGTATCCCACAATGTTCTCATTGTTTGGATCAGGGTGTTCTGTAAGATAGCGTTGAATCAAGTCTCTGGCTTCATCAGCCGTAAACCTAAACATTGAAAGATTTTATTATATGCACTTGAAAAGACACATTTGCTTATCAGCTCTCTGGCAGCCTAAGTTATAACTTAGCCATCCAGGTTAGAAGATCCTAACTTTAATTTTCATTGAGAGAACCTATACCATATAAGTTTACTGACCTGATCAAATTACTTAGAACATGGGTAAAGGATCTGTTTAGTCAAAACATTCAAACAAGATAGTTACGTGAAAAAGTACAATGTGCAGGGTTACAGGGAAGGGTAGGAAAATGGCACTACAGGAGCGGCTCATTTGGAGAGCTAACACAGATAAAATGGGATGAATGGCTTTCTTCTGTGCTGTAATCATTACGTAAATTTCCGATTTGTATTGAACAGCAGCAACTGGGGTGCTTTTGACAAATCAAGGCAGCTCTTTAAGGGCAGAAGATCTCTCACGGATCAACAATTAATTGTTATCAAATGACCTGTTAGAAAGTTTATGTGGATATTCAGTGGGAAAAAAAGATTGGCTCAGAACCTAAAAAGTACATTCACACCCACTGCCTAAACATGCACATGAAGGAAGACAATTTAGATACAGCACTGAACAAGATGTGGACCGCTAAACCAGCAGGAGACCGTTCTTTCAAGAGAAGGGGAATAATGTGGAGGACATGATACAAAAAGTACTTTTAAAATTAAATATTCCAAAAACAACGTTAATGTTGCAAAATTATTTTGCAATTAGCAACAATGTCAGAAGCTTGCATAACTGAGCTTGAAATTAATTGCCATTTTGCACCAAAAAATGCTGCATTTTATGACGGTTGAGAAGGCAAATCACCATTTTAGCTAGCTCAGCCGTGATGTTGAATGGATGCAATTTTATAGATTGTTTGTCAAGGTTAAGGAAATATTTTCTTACCTGAAAAAAATGTGGATACGCTCAATATATCTGCAAAAAAGTCGGACAGGATGAGCAACTTCTGTGGCAACGTCCTGGTAACTCAGAAAATCATTTGGCATTTGTGGTGGGCCAGCCATTTCACTGGCTCTGTGGAGACCCAAAACAAGCAGATCTAGCACAAGCCCATAGTACTGGACAATGAAGGATGCAAACTGGAGCCCTCGGATAATGCCGTAGGAATTGGTGTGGTTCATGTCCTTTTGTATAAAGGAAAAGAGTAAGTCTGAACATTCCAAAACACTACTGAAGCTACAATAACAAAAAATTACCATCAATAATGCACTCCATTTCAGAAGACATTTGAACTAACTGTAAACATGACAACTGCCTAATTCTTGGAATATTCCCAACTGCAAATCTCAGTAAGCCTCACATCACTGCAATTTCTACAAAGGCTGCAATAACAGAGCTACAGTCTCAATGGAACAAGATTTCAAGAAAACAGTACTACAAAGCTACTGGCAAGAAAGCAAATGAACTCCTGTGCCTAATAAACAGACAGAATACAAAAACAACAGGTTATGGTGAATCTTTGTAAATCATTGATTTAGCCTCATCTAGATTACTGCATTTAACAGGTGGCATTCAAGTGAACTGCTTTGACCTGGTGGTGCTGAGCTTCAAGTATTGTTGGCAGTTGCAACCATCGAGGCAAGGAGGGGGTTTTCCATCACACACCCGATTTGTACCTTGCAGACTGTGGACAGGCTTTGGAGAGTTAGGAGGTCAGTTACTTGCTGGAGAAATTCTAGCTTCTGACTGACTCTTGTAGCCACAGTATTTATATACCTTGTCCAAATCTACTTCTGGTCAATGGCAATATCCAGGATACTGATAGATGGGAATTTTGCAATGGTAATGCCAATGATGTCAAGGGCGAGACTGTTACATTCCTCTTGTTTGAAAGGATCTTAGCTTGAACACTTATGTGGTGCAAATGTTACTTGCTGTTTATCAGCGCAAACGTGCAGGTTATCCAAGCCATGCTGCATATGGACATGAACTGCTTCAGTATCTGAGGAGTCACAACAGTGCTGAACATTGTTCACTGAGAAGTAAACATCCCCACTTCTGACGTTATGTTGAATGTAAGGTCATCGATAAAGCAGCTGAAAATGGTTGAGGTATTAATGCAGTGACATCCATCAACCCCAACTGTTTTTGTGCCAGATATGACTCCAAAGAGTGGCAAGTTTTTTTCTCCTTATCCCCAAAGATTCCTGTTTTTTTAAGGTCAAAAGTTACCATGATACCAACTGAAGTCACTCTCACCTCACCCTCGAGTTTAACTTTTTTGCTGTGTTTGGACCAAAACTGTAATAGATTAGGAGTGGTTCTGAGCAAGTGCTGCTTGATGGCACTGATGACAATTCCTTCCATAACTTTGCTGATGACTAAGAGACTGATCAGGCAACAAATAGCTGCTTGGATCTGTCTTGCTTTGACAGGCAGGTCATACCTGGGCAATTTTCCACACTGCCATTGTTGTAGCTGTACTGAAACAGCTTGGCAAGGGGCACTGCAATTCCTGGAGCACAAGTACTTCAGTACTATTGCCAGAATGTTGTCAGGACCAGAAGCCTTTGTAGTGTCCAGTGCTTTCAGCCATTTCTTAATATTGTGAGGGAAGAAGACTGGAGACTGGAATACAAGATGCTGAGGGCTTATGGAGGAATCCAAGAAGATGAGATACTTCAGTTTAGAGAAATTCAAGATGATGTTTGAGGTATTCAAAATCATGAAGAATCTGGACTTAGTAGATGGGGAGACACTTCTCCTAATCCTGGGAGTAAGAACAAGATATCACCTTAAAGTGAGTGACAAAAGAACTGAAAATGATACAAGAGGAAGATTCTATTTACACAGTCAGTGTTAAGGACCTGTAACGCACTTATAAGAGTTTAGCGGAGGCAGGGTCAAGTATGATTTTCAAAATGGAATAATAATTTTTTGAAAAGAAAAATATGGCAGGACTATGGAGAGAAGGACGGAAAAGTAGGCCTAGCCATGTTGTTCTTGCAAAAGCATAGAGTCAAACAGACTTTGTTTTGTGCTGTAAACTTCCTATGATAATATCATAGCCAGGCTGACAGGTTGAACACCCCATCACTTATTTTACAGCCATCAAGTTTTGAAATAGTGCATTGTCAAAAACGCATTCCATTATATAAAGCCTTTTGTATTCTTACATTTTTAATTTCAACAGCTAACAACGCAATATCTTAAGAAATTCTATTCCAGTGAAATATTGTAAGAATTCTACACTTGTATAATTTTGACAGTGAATATCAGGCCATATTTGATGCTGTCTGAAATTACTGATCAATCAGTATATCAGAAAATATGCATACCTTGTAATTGATGACAACGTTGTTCTTGGCTGTCATGTAATCAGCAATGTTGTGATCCACAATTAGACGCAGCAATCTGTTCAGCAAAGTCAAGTCAATTTTCTCATACATCTTCTCAAATCGCGACTCTAACATGACATTGCATTCACCATCAGCTGTCTCCCATACATCCTGAAGATTGTTGATGCCTGTGTTAAGAAACCATTATATAATAATAAATCTTAACATTAGCCAAATCTCCTAGTTCTACAAGGAATATGTAGATTTCTAAAAATAAGTCGGAACTTTTGGGTGTGTGGTAATTGAACAGCTATGCTTCGCATTTCTGAGGAAGTTAAATTTGCAGCAAGAACAGATGTTTGCACTAGATCTTTGCTGTATCAGTGTGTCACAAAATTGCAAAAATACCCTTATGCAGTGCCAAATAATTTGACAAAAATACTTTTATCAGTTGAAATACATTGGTTCTGCTCTTGTTCACAAAACTAAATTAAACAAATGTTTAAATAATGCAGTCTAAAATCTGCAAAAGACAGTTCTAACATTTAATATTAACATACCCTGGCACCACTTGTATACAAGAGATGGAGGAGGCTCTGTATCAGCTGGCTTAATCCATGGAGGGAATAACCGTCGCTTGTCAGCTTCATACCACAAGTACTGATCAAGGTAAGCATCAGTGATCTTCTCCAATGGTTCAACGTCATAAACAGGTACCAAGTGGCTGTACAAATCCATAAACTCAATACCAACCTTTCAGAGAAGAAATATTTAAAACATCAAATCATTCTAACATTATAAAAATCAGTAAGTCTTCTTCTGTCATAATTTAATGTTCTGTTACAAAATGACAATACAAATGTCTAGAACTGGGTAGGTACAATGTTGAAATTTATAATATCCCTACAAACCTCTTTGAAAGCTCTCTGAGTAAGTAAGTGTCGTTTAATCCTGGACAAAGCCTCATGAGGGTTATCATAGGCTTGTTCGATTAGACCCAATTCTTCTCGCTGTGACTGGTTTAGCCTTGATTTCACACTGAAATTAAGTGCATAAAATGAAAGAATAACATTTATGTCTTTTAAAATGGCTTAGTTTTATTTTTCTTGATGACGTGTGTAAAATTAAGTAAAGTCTGACATTAATGGTCTTAACTATTTAAATTTGCAATTTCAATTACAAGTATGTATATTTACCTGTAAGCTTCTTTCAATCTTTCTAGAGCCAGGATCAGAAGCTTTGTGTCGTGTTTGTATGAAAGAGGAGGGAAAGGAATTGGAGAGAAACGTCTGCTCTCTAACCAATGCACAGTGGTGGTGTAGATGGCAACGGCTTCTTCGGCAGTGATGTAGGGCCCATCCTATTCAACAGATTATTATTACTTCCAAGTAATTAGACAATTCTGGCTTTTAGAGAAAATGTGTAACATATGACCAATTAGATGATATGACTGTTAGATCATTTATGCAAAATACTTTATTTTTAATACTTTTACAAATAGTTTATTATCTCCCTAAATGAAAGCAACAATCAATCTAGGAGCACCTTCACGTTCTGATGCAATTACTTAGAACATTAGCTCTGTACAAAAGGTCAACAGCATTACTTTTCACTGAATTTGCTCTTTTACGAGCAGTAGATATAAATGTATTCTTTCAAACAAGGACATTTTTAATACTGTAATTAGCTATCCGTATTGCACTGTAAAGATTTTCAGCACAATTTGTGGATGAGGTCATGTTTGTCATTAATGCACATGCCATAGAGAACTCACCTTCAGGTAGTTGTGCTGTCTTTCCTGTTCTGCCTTCAAGTACAGTCTGGTTAAGCGACCCAGATTCTTCTTGCACACAGTCTTGTCAACAGTTGCACCACGGCGAATACGCTCTCTGTTGTAATGTGCAGTATTTGTCCACCAGTCAGCTTTGGCTTTCACGTACCGAAGGATCATGTTCTCAATTGGAGTCGGCAGCCCTGGAACCTATTGTAACAATACCAAGTCTCTGCAGGTCATTTAAAAAATTTTCTTCTACATTTATACTTTGTAATTACATGTAAACTACAAGGCAACTAGAAAACTGATGCATACAAATTAAGTATGGATTTTTATTTAAAACCCATACGCATAATTAAATCCTGAACAGAAAAAAAAAAATCTTGCCCATCCCAATAGCTTCACTAATAGTGAAAGAGAGTCAGACTGAGTACCAAAAATGTCACACTTGAACACACAGGTCATAAGTGAAATAATTTCTTAGTCCCAAAACTTTCTGAGAAAGCACAGGACTCTACATTTGATTTTGGAGAATTTACTAACATGGTGAAAAAGAATATATAACTGTAGAGAGTGTAATGGGGAAAGGACGGGCTTGGCTGCTTTAAAAGTGTACCTGAGAGCAATGAGCCAATTATTCAAGTAATTACCTTCCAAGGAATATTTGCCTTCCAGCATCTCCAAGCCTCACTCAAATGTTGCAAGATTGTCCTGGCCTTGTTTTGTTTAATTCCTTCAGGCATCATATCCAAGATATCATGCATAACAGCAGCTCTCAACTCTAGATCAAAGTGAGACTCCACACGCTGTTTGGTTACAGTCTTAGCTACTCCCTTAGAATGGCGACCTGAGAGAGGATTGGGAAAAGTGGGAGATATTTCAATTAACTGAGATTGGAGAATCTTTACAAATGTCTTCAAGACTGATCAGGAAGTATATTTAGTTACAACTTCAAGAATGTTATGCCTTCAGACTATATATGTAAGTTTTTTATTTTAAAAAACACAAACGTTATTAACCTTCAAACTGTCTGGCAAGCAGATTTCCCAACCACCTCTCCAGCAGTGGAGTTATACCCCTCATGAAGAAAAGCCACACTCTCCAGCCAGCAGCCCAAAATCCACAGCCAGGCCCTTTGCCTACTGGTCCCTGTAAAATTAAATAAGGACCGCAATTATTAGAAAATTACCACTGGTTTTGAAAGTACATAAAATCAAGTAAACACACTGCATTGAACTTTTTGTTTAATTTTTGAACAGCTCATGCTATATAAAAAAAGTGTGTCAGTGCAGTCTACTACTCTAAATGATTGTTTCTTTATTCGTGGGACATGGGTGTTGCTGGCTGGCCAGCATTCATTGCCCATCCCGAGATGTCCTTGAGAAGGTGGTGACCTACATTCTTGAACCCGTACGGTCCACATGCTGTGAGGTGACCTGTTGATATCAACTGGTACAACTGAGTGGCTTGCTAGGGAAGTTCAGAAGCTCGTGACGTAAAGGTTGTTTTATACCATTGAGGATTCAAATTATACGGAATGGAGGAAAATTATTTTCAAATGTAGATGAAAGGAAAAAAAGACATCATATCGTGCAACAAAGCACTTGAGAACAGCAGGGGCTAAGGCATGAAAACAGAATATCAACGCATGCAATTAGTGAAAGGTATGATTTTCACAGGTATGGGTGACGTGAGAAGAGCGGGAAAATTGTCCTTTTTCAAGTGGTCTAAAAATGTATCGAAATGTCAAAAAATTGCTGACAAAATTACAAGAACGAATAACAATTACATTAACATTTGCAACTCATGACAGACCAGGCTGAGACCAATTAAAATTTGCAATGGTAACCTGGCATGTATGTGTTAATGTAAGCTTAGCAGTTATGCAAATTCTGTGCTTACGGTGTTAAATCTGTAATAGATAAGGTGCTTCAGATCTTTACACATTCGGATTTGTCTCATCAGCTTGTACTTGTATCTGTACATTCCAGTCAACTGTCCAACGTGAGCAAAGATATACTGCAATCCATCTGACAACTGGAGACAGAAAATAAATCATACTTAATTTCACAGATTTAGAGTGTGGCCAATGCTTTAGTCCAACTGATATAAAATGTGATTATTTTCCTTATTTGCACAAAATCACGCACATTTAGACTCCACAAATTTAGTGTTGGTGTAAGCTCCACTAAATGTGTGGTGTAAATTGGATGCTAAGGCTCAAAGTGACACTAAAGCAAAGTGAAGGCTAATGTTCATTCAGAATGTCTTATTCCACTTCACTCCAGTGTGACAGTCCAAACTCAGGCTTCCACTGCAACACAACTGCACCAACAATCCAATGCGTAACAATTTTGTCACAGTTATAGCCTAAAAAAAACCCCAAAATGCATATCAATTCCCATCCAATACACTAAATGACCAAAATACATATTTATACTGTATTTAAATTACTTTTCTAGTGTTGATACATTCAAGTGATATTCATGCAATCATTCCACAATCTGTTTTCTGGTAACCACAACATTACATAAACCTTCTAGCACTTGAACAGCATAAAACATGAATAAAGTCAACATTGTCAAATTCATAGATCAGTTTAAAAAAGATGAAGTAAAAGGTAGCAATTCCAAACTAGCATTAGAAAGGACAAAAGGACAGTATTTGTGTTGTTTCCAAACTGAAACTTCCTATTGCAAAACCCTAACAAGCACACACAATATACTTGTAGTAGTTCTGTTTCCAAATTTTGTTTTTAAATTTATATACCTGGAAGGCATCCACATTCCCCAGCCTGTACTGTACGTGACTGTCAACAACAAGCTTTGTTAAACGTAGCACTTCACGGCATAAATGGAATGCATTCCCAAACCTGGACTTCTTACGTTCCTGTAAAAATGAACATATTGGTAATGTTTTTCCTTACTTTCTTTAAAGACCACACCAATTGTTCAAAGTCTACTTCTGTTTCAGTCTAATCAACATAATTGTTGTTCAAAGAAAACAAACTTGTATAACCTCATTGTGCGATTGTAACAAGGTCAGCAAGGTGGACCTCAGAATGAGTTCCCTGATTGGGGCTGTTAATCTGGTTCAATCAGGGAGCCCTGGCTGACAGATATAAACAGGAGTATTGGACATCCTGCTCACTGTGAGAGCTGGCTCAGTGTCAAGGACTCTCAATGTGTAAATAAAGGGTGACTTGGTAACCAGATACAGGCCTCTGTGAAGTTATTTCACTCTTGGCTTCACAGACAACATGACATTTGTGAACAGTAGCAAACTCCGCACAGAAAAAATACAAATGGACAGATAATTTGTTTCTAGCCATAGAGTCATACAGCGCAGAAACAGACTCTTTGGTCCAACCAGTCCATGCTGAACATAATCCCAAACTAAACTAGTCCCACCTGCCTGCTCCTGGCCCATATCCCTCCAAACCTTTCTATTCACATAGTTCAAATGATATATTGTGGTAGACCTTTATGGAACTTTCCCTTTCCTAATCAAAGATCACCACTGGATATCTAACTTGATCAGATGAAAGATGACACTCCCTCAGTACAGACTGAACAGTATTAATTAAAGTCACTGGAATCACACAATGGTCTGACACAGTTATTACTAAAGAGCCGAAGTGTTTGCATTTGAATAGACTATCTAACTGGATAATTTAACAAAGTTCACTGAATTATAGAAACACGAATATTTGGAAAATGTAGTGAATTTGATATACTAGTCTTGAATTCTGTCAGTAGGTACAAATTTCCCGCTATTTTAACTGCTTTATATTGTTTGCACATGAATTCCAATTTAAGCAAATTACAATAAAGACTTATTAATTTGTTCTTGTAATTTGCAAATAACATTTATATAGTCACGCATAATAGAGTTTTTATGCAAGATGTGCTGTTTCAAAGGCAAACTACCAAGATCCAACAACATCGTAGTTTAATCAGACATCTTCAGTACAAAAAAAGCCCGAAAATGTTAAACATAGGTTTTTAGGCCAAAAGGTTAAAGTATATCAAAACATAAAATAATTTTGAAACAGCTATAATATTCATTAATTGAAATCTGACAAGAATAAAATTGTCAAATGCCAAATTCAGTTTACCAAGTTTCCTCCAAATCATAAATGTACTGCTAAGTCTAGAGACACTTCACTTGTAAAATATGGACCAGTGCCCAAGATAATCCTTACCTTAGTAGTGAGGGTTTTCACTGGCTTCAAGTTGAAGTTGTAGTCCAGATGCAGATAATTCAGATTCTTACGGTGAATCAACAAATTCAGCATGTTGTAACCTTGACGGCACACCTGGAGGCCTACCTCTACCCAATCAAGTTTGGTTGACTGGAAAAACTTTGTTGATTTGAATGAACGGAATAAGTACCTGAAGCGGAAACAGTAAAACATTAGCACCAGAACGAAGTTAGAAAATGTAGACATTCAATGCCTTTTCCTCCTGAACAAAGAACTCATTTTACTTACAAGAGGCCAGGTCAGGTCAGCCTAAAAATATTTCTCTGCATGGCACATTAACCACTTTTATGCCAATGTCAGAAGATGCCATAACCAAAGTGGGAAATCGGACCTACTGTTTTCCCTCACACCATGACGTGAATGTTAAATCCTCATACAGGATGTTGGTGTTTGTTAAGACTAAGTATTGTTTGCCCACCTGAGTGCAAAATAATACATTAAAATTTTTAAAAATTCTGCTAAAATGGTTTTGAATACCAGTCTCAAGTAAAGTCCACATTAAGGATTGAGAAAGGGTAACTAAACCATAAAAGGTCCAACAGAGAGGTTGGAATAGCACTCTTGAGCCCTGAATACAATCAGAGCAGAAAGATCAAAAATCAGCCTACCACCTGTGTATTCCCATAACTGCTGTACTACACGAAGGAGTAGTTACCAAGAATGGATGACAAAAACATACAAAGTTTCCCCAGCATCAACATCTATCACCATCACTGCTATATATTAAAAAAAATCCTCCACCTCTTTTTTCTGCACAGGTACCATTTAACATTTTCATCTATGAAGGCCAGCAGGCCTTTTATGCTGTTAATACTAGTCAGGAGTAGTAAAATTATGATGAGATCAATCTAATTTTTTTTAATCAATCTAACACCATTGAACAGCCCAGTATTTGTTCTTAAACAGCAGACATGTTAAAGTGCCAGGCAATCAATGAACAATCCTTCATTATCAGTATAACACACTGGTGCACTAGCACTACTGATCACTGGTCTCTCTTTCCTCTTTGCTGGGGGTCAGTTTAGCTCAGTTGACTAGATGGTTGGTTTGTGAAGCAATGTGATGCCAAGCATGGGTTTAATTCCCATCATTGGCTGAGGTTACCACAAAGGACTCTCTTTCTCAACCTCTCCCCTTATCTGAGGTATGATAGTCCTCGGGTTAGTCGTTTCTCTCTGTAATAAGAGAGCAGCACTATGGTCTGGTAAGACCTATGGTGACTCGACTTTCTCCTCCCCCGTGCAAGTCTAGAGTTCAATTTTACTCCAGACAATACTAATTCTCAAAGCTGACAACATTAACTATAAAACAAACAAATTCAATTAGAGAGATGCAGAATATCTAATTATCCATTGAATTGGCTTATATTCTTTGAAAACACCAAAATTACAGAACATTCAACCAACCTTTTCTTTTGTGCTTTGGGTGGTCTGTGTTTAAGTGCATTCAGTACATAGTATTTCAGGAGTTTCTGGTAAGAAACCCTAACTTTGACTGGTTGCCCTGCTGGACAGTGCTCACGGTACCAGTTCTTAACTAAGGGAATGTCAAGTGCTCTCCTTGTTTTTCCAGACCTCAAGTTAAACGGTCTTGGTGCCCAAAGCAATGCTATGCCATTGGCAGTATGATCTGAATATAAAGGACAATCTTTCAGGAATGGTTCCATACAATCAGGAAGTTCAAACTCTTCATCATCATCCGGTAATGGTTCCTGGCTCTGAAATGAAATGCAAAAAGCATATGATAATCTTCTGTTAGTTTTATTTCAAAAGTAGAAATTAATTGCAATAGCAAGTTACTCTAGTGTAAACGTGATTACCTTAACAGAGTGTCTGTGAGAGATTGGGTTAATCAACGGATCAAAGTAAAAAGCTGGCAAATCTGGATCTTCTGTTTTAATGAACACAACATTCGGTGTGTGATACCTTAAACACAAAGAAGTTAAATAAGAGCCAAATAACAGCAAATACCAAATTTAGCAATGCGTACCCTAACCTCAAGAATGCACTTTTCCTTTACCATTTCAAAACTAATATTTTGGGGAACAGATTCATGGTTTTTGGGTGCCCTGCAATGCCCCAAGCAAACCAAACGCATGAATCACACATAAGAATACTGGAAGGCAATTTCATTATAGGGGTATCACACGAAGATCATTACTTAATGTCCATACATCTCCAATTTAAAATAAAGTTCGTCAGAGAGCAATCAGGAGAAGCTTGACTTAGTTTCTCTTCTAAGGCCTCAGGATACATATCCAAAGGATACCACATCTCAAATCTTAACTTAGTGGAGCTCTGCTTATTTAGCAAAGAAGGAGAAACATTCTCCGACCCTTCAGTTCAGTATTTATACTGTCATCAAATGAATTTTCTGGGGGCTCTGAAATAAAATGCCGCTGTATAATACAAAGTTTAATGGTTTCACTTTCACTTTCCAACACTATTTGCACATTCAATGCTTTCATTAAAGGTTAGGTACTTTCAACAGAGCCCACTTAAAGCTGTTTTAGATCGTCCTGCCAGGGGAAATAAATCAGTTACCATGACAAAACCCACTACCTAGCATTTTGACAGTTTTACATTGCTTTGCCATTCCACAGACAAAAGGAAATTTACAGGTTTGCTCACATACCAAAAGAACTTAACAGAGTGAATGGATGTCCAAGAATCATGAGGTCATACAGATGATTCTTATTTTTAAATATGGAAAGCAAATAATAGAAAACAGTACTGTTGAGAATTATTACTAATCATGCCAACAGTCATGATGAGCTACACAGTAATACTAAACAGATTACAACATACAATTAAAAATTATTGCTGACACAGAAAATGTAATATATATGATTAATATTTCAATTTTTCTAACTTCCTGGCTATTAAGAGTAATAGATTCATAGTCATACAACATGGAAACAGGCCCTTCGATCTAACTAGTCCACACCAACCATGTTTCCAAACCAAACTAGTCCCAGCTGCTTGCATCTGGCCCATATCCCTCCCAACGTTTCGTGCTCTAGTACTTATCCAAATGTCTTTTAAATGTTGTAACTGCACCTTCATCTTCCACTTCCTCTGGCAGTTCATTCCGCACACTAACCTCTGCATAAAATGCTGCCCATCATGTTCTTTCTAAATCTTTCTCCTCTCACTTTAAAAATGTTCCCTAGTTTTGAATTCCCCCACGTTAGGGAAAAGACCTTCGCTATGCACCTTATCTATGCCCCTCATTATTTTATAAACCTCTATAAACCTCAACCTCCTACACGCCAGTGAAGAAAGTCCCAGCCTTTTTTGATAACTCAAACCCTCCATTCCCGGCAACATTCTGAACACTCTCCAGTTTAACAATATCGTTCCTATAACAGGGCAACCAGATCTGCACACAGTACTCCGGAAGAGGCCTCACCAATGTCCTGTACAATCTCAACATGATGTCCCAAATCCTATACTCAAAGGTCTGAACAATGAAGGCAAGTGTGCTAAATGCCTTCTTAACCAACCTGTCTACCTGCAACGCAAATTTCAAAGAATTATGTACCTGAACCCCTAGGTCTCTCTATTCTACAACAGTATCCATGGAACTCCCACTCTAACAATATAGTAGGCGTGCCTGCCCCAAATGGACTGCAGTGGTTCAAGGTGGTAGCTCACCAACACCTTCTCAAGGGCAACTAGGAATGGGAAATAAATACTGACCAACCTGCAAAGCCCACATTCCTTGAATTAATTTTTTAAAAATCAGGAAATTTTGCTGTTTGTGTTGCTCTAAATCTAGGACAGATGCAAAATGATTTACACTTATCTACTTACCAGGTGAGATGAACATGATGGGGGAGGTTATTGTACAAGTATGGGAATGCGATTTTGTATTCTGTTCTGATTGGTTGTCTGATGATGATCTTGTTGATGTCATTGAATTCATTCCAGTCTTCATCCCTAACAGAAGCAAATCAAACACAAACGGTCAAAGCTATTATGTTTTAATTTTACATAACTGGAAAATTGCAAACTATGAAAATAAAAGAAAACTGACTTCCTGCAATTTCAACATAATGGCCCAAATCTTCCAATATGAGCAATTCAACTGTTCTTCAGTATGTTCATTGAGCGAGTGGGAATGAGGTTAGTGGGCAAAGGGATGTGCTGGGAATATAGTTAGCCTGAACTTAGAGCAGGTTTTACATCCTCTAACCCTTTACTGGTTGGCTATTTAGCTAAGCAAATCAGAACCACTCAAGTCTTCAACTCTAACTCGAAGTTAGGGGCACTTTGGGTGGTTCAATGTTTGAACCTCTCAGGCAATTATGGTACAGCAGTGCACTGGGGCCTCCAAGCAGACCTGAAGCCCATCTTTCAGGGTGCATTCAGTAGCTGACTATCTGAACACCAAAAGATCTGGGCCAATAGCTCACATGACAAATTGTTTAAAAAAAAAAGTACTATTCAAAATAAAACATTTGCTCACATGTACTTTTCCAGTGGATTATAAACCAACAACCAGGCATTTCAGGGATCATCCGTTGATTTTCCCTTAATACTTTCTCTCAAATCAAAGGCAGATGCAATAGCCTCTGCATGGCACAGGCCAGATAAGGAAATAAACTGGCTCGGACTTGACTCTACATCTAAACCTTTATCATGTCACAAGGTGCTCGTGTATAAACTTGCACATTTCTGGCTTACAACTGCTATGTAGCAATGACAACTCAAGTCACGTATGCATTATAGTGCGGAACCAGTTCCTTCTTATGCTACAAATGTATGGCTCATTAGTGAACCAAATATGCACAAAACCTTGTGAGGTTGTACAGTACAGCACTAATACACTTTAGAACATCTGAAAAGCTTTCACTAAAAAAAAGCAAAGTTCACTATCAGCGTTAAAAGTAATGGGAAGGAGAACAATCACATAGCTGGATATTTGCAGGAAAGAAAGCAAATAGATTAAAAAAAGTGAAAAATACAGAAGGATCTTGCTGAAGATACATACGTGATTATGTTACAAGATGTGCCTTTAAGAAGGATCTGTTCTGTCATTTTTTTTTTTGAACCAAGCATTGTAAACTTGGAACTGAGCAGTCTGCTCTGAGCCCAGCTAGCTTTGGTGTTTTTTTTAAAAGAGATTGGAACAATAGAAGCAGCATGATGGGGTGGAGTCAAGCAGAACCAGGATTTTAGTTTTAGCTTTCAGTAGCTGTTGGGCTCTGGAAGCTGTTATACATCTCTCCCTGTTACAGCAAAACACTTGAGTTCTCTGTCTCCCTGAATTTTCTCTTGATGTCCTTTCCTCCTGGCCTGGAGAATTGCATGGGAGACAATCCATTTTTACTGAGTCTGCCTTTGCCAAAAGTGGGTTTATGGGATGTTACTATATTGGAACAGTTGATGTTTAGTAGTTAAATAATCTATTATTCTCTTAAGTTTTCCAATAGGATTAAGTTATTCCAATAATTATTGTTTGTATTTCAACTATAGTGTAAAAATAAAGTGTGATTTACTTCAAGCCTAGTAATTTAATCAATTGAATTGCCTTAAACTTGTCTTGCAAAAAGTTGAAGTTTAGTCTGCTCCATGACAACGAAAGCAGTGAAGATACATAAGCCATTAAAAATCAGTTAGCATCCTTAACTTTGTATCTTAAAGACATAAGAGGTTGGTACAATTTGGTTGCAGTTGTGAATAGAATGCAATTCTGGCCAAGGCATTACAGGAATGATATCATTCCACTGAAAAGATACAGAATGAAAAAGGTATAGATTGACTGGGC